ACACAAGTGACGAAAGAGTTGGGGAAGTTGGTGAACCAAGCACAGTCAAAAGTAAGAAGAATACAAGAGCGTCCAGTTTGGCTAGGCAACAGTTCATTCACTCCAGAACACTTTGGAGAGGAACATGTGACTTTGGAGGTGGGGGGGGGGGGGGAGGGTGGTTTATTCACTGAATGCGATGCTAATAACACAACAGTGGTGGGTAGGGCTTCACTGGCCAGGGAACTCGGTTCCCCCGCCGCGTTCTCTCTCGACCCAACAACTCCTGTATGTTGATCCATTTACTCTCTACCTATTCCCCATCCTCAAACCCGTACTTACCCAGCTTCCAGCGTGAGACTCGACGAAGCTCATCTCGTACGTCACGTAAAACGACCCGTGAACCTGAATCTCACGCCTCAAATCACTCTCAATCATCTTACTCTCTACCTCCAACTCCTGTCACTACCTCATTTGAAGAATCTTTTCCGTCGGCCAAACGACGCAAAACGCAACGATCTGTGAATCAAACTACGCAGACTCCCAAAGGAAAGGAATCCACGGAGACTCCTAATACGTCTACTTCTAAGGGACCCGTGGTCTCATCTCAAGCCACTGACAGTGTCTCCAAGAGGAGGGACCGAAATCGAAAAGCCGTGACTTCCAACGGTGAGCTGACTTCCAACACCGGATCTCCCAGTGAACCGGCTGTTCCCCAGACCAAACCGCGCCCAGAACAGTCGCAATCAACGTTGCATCACTTTCTGCTGAAAAAGCCTCAACCGAAGCGGCATTCTTTGGCCACCACTACTCTCCCTACTTCTACCTCCACCCCTCGTGTTACTTCCTCTGCTTCTTCTACCCCGCGTGCCTTGTCTACGTCGGCTTCTACACCCCGTGTCACTTCTACTACTCCTGTCAGTACTCGCAAGGATCGTAATCCCAAGAGCGCTGAGACCCCAAACTCCGGCGTCGCGAAAACTCCTGCGGAGATCAAGACTGAGTCTGCACCTGTGGAAACTGCTACCAAGCTCTCCAGTACGCAGGACAAGAATTCATCCAAACCTCAAACACCTATTGCACCATCTCGCCCGTCTACTCCTCTCGGCTCCACCAGCAGAGCGCGCCGTACGGACCGCAAAGCTGCTGGTACCACCAACCCCAGTCGCTTAAACCCAGCCACTGAACATACCCAATCCACTCCGATCGAACAGATATCAACTCCAACCACATCATCCAACATGGGCAACGCCAAGTCCGTCCCTTCCCGTGCCTCCAAGAAGGGGAGCACTCGACCTCAGCGCAGCAGTCGTCGCTCGCTGATTGAGCCCGAAACTCTTAGCCAAACCCCCAACTATCTGAACAGCAACAGCGCCAAAGCCAGCGACCTCTCCTCGGGCGCAGAGTCGCTCACCCCTGCGCTACCGTTTGGCCGGGAAATCGCGGAGAGCATCGAATCCACCACCCCAGCCTCTGACGACAAGATCCTGCGGGATTTCGGGACTCCGATCCTCGACGAGAACAACACACCCGGCGCGACTCCTTACGGGGATAGCTTCCACTTTGAATATGACACAGACATGTACCGCAACAACTTTGGCCTCGATGGGACCACTGAGACGCCCGGCTCGCCCACAGGAAGCCTGACCACGGCGACGTCAGCTGGCAACCGCATTTCCACAAGACTGCGCAAGCCAACCATCAAGGCCATGGAGTCGATCGAATCCGAGCGGCGGTTCCGCCGGCCTCCGCGTTCGACGTCGGCTCGACCAGATGGTCCCAAGGGTCCCCCGTTGAAATGGGATGCAGTGGCCTTGGGCATTCAGATCTTTGATTTGGCAAATGCGGCTCTTGCTCCTGAATTCGAGCCTGTCGCGGAAGCGGAGAACTGGCTGGCTGAGCTTCGTGGTGAATATGAGGTCAAGCATGCAGAGAAGGAGAAGGTGCGCCTGGAGCGGGAGAGACTGGAGAAGGAAAGGGAGGAAAGGGAAGAGAAAGAGATGGAGCTGAGAGAGAAGGACGAGAAAGAAACCGCGGAGAAAGAGGCTCAGGAAAAGCCAAATGGTCAGGCGGACGTTGCGGAGAAGGAAATTGATGTGATGGAGAAGGAAGTTGATGTGATGGAGAAGGATGTCGATATGACGGAGACGGAAGTGGTGGAGAATGGAGAGAAGAACGAAGCAGAGAAGGCGAGCAGCGAGCCGGAAATTGCAGAGAAGGCCAATCCAGAGGAGGCCAATGCAGAGGCCAATGCAGAGGCTAATACAGAGCCAAATGCAGAGCCAGATGCAGAGGCCAATGCAGAGCCAGATGCAGAGGCCAATGCAGAGCCAGATGCAGAGCCAAATGCACAGTCAGTCTCCGAGAAGGAATCTACGGAGAAGGAATCTGCGAAGAATGACTCTGCGGAGAAAGAATCTGCGAAGAAGGAATCTGCGGATAAGGAATCTGCGAAGAATGACTCTGCGGAAAAGGACTCTGCGGAGAAGGACACTGCGAAGAAGGACTCTGCAGAGAAAGAGAAAGCAGAGAGCGAAGCCGAGAAAACCAGTCCACCTGCGGAGCAGCTCCCGAAAGTGTCGAGACCACAGAGACCGGTGCGTGCAACACGCAACAAACGGCCTCTCGCCGAGGAGCAACCCTCAAACGAGACAAAGACCAAGGACAAAGCGAAGGCGAGAGGGGCCAGTAAGCCAACCTCCTCGAGGGACAAGTCGAAGGAGTGGACTGACGAAGACGGCTTCACCTACACAGGCCAAGTCAACAAATTCGGCGAGGAACTGGTGTATGTTGGCGGCGAGTACGAATGGTATCGACCCAACAACACTTACGGGGATGATAAGCTGCCGCTGCCTCCTGTCCGCCTCATTTCGCGCGACCAGCTAGAAAAGGACCGTATCTTTGGCTTTCCCCCTCTGATGGGCGAGAGAAACATCCCACGTGCGACGCACATGCCGTTCACCTATGAAAACGTTTATGAGGAACGAGCGAAGATCAAGGCCCGGGACGAGGCGCGCAAACGCGGCATTGAAGTGGACCGGTTCATGCCCTCTGCTGCCATTCACGCCCTGATTGCTGAGCATGACAAGACCTCGAGTGACAAGGACAAATCTGGCTCGGGGGTGGAACACAAGGGCCCGGCTCCGCGCAAGCGCCGCCGTGGCGCAGAGCAACCCACCGAGGCCGCACAAGCCGCCAAACGACGTCGCAAGGAGGACACTCCCCCTCACGCGGCAGACCAGCCCAAGACTTTGCGCATTAAATTGACTCTGAAGGGCGCCGCTGCGGCAGCCGCTGCGGCGGGAAACGCCGGCTCTCCAAATGACTCATCGAAGAAGCGCACCCGTTCTGAGATCGAGAGCGCGCCTGAAGCGAACGGTGTTCCAGACAGCAAGACCCCACAGGGCCGGCCTTCGAAGCTTCTCAAACTTTCCGGCCTGCGCCGTGATCCTGTCTCGACTCCATCCAAGTCGACGGCGACTCCAGCCACGCCTGGGGGCGGGAACAAAAACGCCACTGCTACACCTGCGCCTGCACCTGTGCCTACACCTGCCACAGCTCCCGCCCCCCAGGCTTCGACTCCGGTCACCGAAGCCAGTACCGCAGTCCCAGGAACTACTCCTGGTGGCCGGCCCCGGCGGCGAGCTGCAGCAGCGTTGATGGCGGAATTCCAGACTCATGCCGAGCAGAGGGCGCGTCGCGCCAACGCCCGCAAGAAGGAGCCCACCACCTAGACGACTGGTCTCTCCCCCTTCCACCTACCGTGTTCCACACACTCAGACCAGTAGCGCAACTCCCTCTTCTGTCTGGTTCGCACTCATTCCTTCTTTACGACTATCGACTTTTCGAAGTGAGACCAGACAGAAGAGGGGGTGGTGGGTGGATTGGAGGGAACTCCGGCCTCGATTATCCCCCAAGTCTCATGCGCTGTTATCCACATAATGCACGCTTTGTGCTGGAGCCAGGTCACTTCTTTATTTTGTGTCTCGACCCTGGGCTGCGAGACATCAACGACCGTTGAACAGAAAGGTTTTCACTTCATGAACAGTATCGACAAACAATCCGACCACGACGAGTTTAGTACTAGCACGATGAGAGTGAAAATCTAAGGCCCTTGAGAGATGAAACGGAACGGTGGAATATGAAGAACGAGCGAAATCGACCCCTGCTGAGGCGGATGGACTTGTCAGAGGGGGCATGAACACAGAGCGGACTGGGGAAGGAAACAACATCACCTGGCTCCAAGGTTGTCCCAGCAGACAAAGATTCGAGACATGTTACCGGCTGAGCACGACTACTTTGCTCCTTTTATTTCCTTTTTCCTTGCGATAAATCTTGCGAATTAGCTGAGCATAGCGATTGTGTTTCTATCATCATCATCATCATCATCAACATCGGAGGACGAGGATCATCATGCCATGGAAGGAGATATGGCTTTTGCTGCCGTGTTGGGTTCTGGGAACTCGGGATTCGATCATACCTACAACTATTATCCTCTTTTCTTCCCGCTCTTGCACACTGATGTCTGTACTAGTATTCGGGATAGGTCGCTCGAATACAAGGATTGTAAGCTGAGGATGGGAAACTGGCTGCATGCTGTGATTTGTTGCATGTTGCACGTTGCATGTTGCATTTCGACCTGCGGATGCTTTTGTGTGTATGTGTGTGCTTGTACTTTTAGATTGAATTGGGATAGGATTGGGGGCTCATGGTTCGGGATGCAACTTGCGATGAGATGGAGAAAGCTGGAAATGAGGACACGAAGACCAGCGGAATTGTATTGCACAGGAAATTGAGAAGGTGCAAATCCATCGAGATCTGAAGATAAGAAGCTGTCGCCAGTGACAGGCGGTTTCAAGAATGCTGCGAAGTGTAGTGTAGAGTGTAGAGTGTAGCGACTAACCCATCACCATCAACCAATTGTTTCCTGCAATTCCTGCCTCAGGCCCCAAGGCACCATCCACTTCCCCAGAAAAAGAATTTCCCTTCCGGCTGGCGACAAGCAACCCTTGGAAACAACATCAAATCACCGTCAAGACATCTGACGCTTATTACTGCTCACTGCTCCTGGGACATCCAAACACAAACCCTACATTATCCAAGCAATTTCTCCCATTCATCCATACCATTCATCCTTTCCAGCTCTTCCACAAAATAAGGCAACGACGAGGAAGAAAAAGAGAAAGACAATGCCCCCCTCCACTCCCACCTCCCGCACATCCAAACCACCCACCCCCACCCCCACCCCCAAGTCTCACGCTCAACCCTCCATTGCCAAACCCACTCCCCAACGCGTCGTCTTCCCCGAAGCTCACCTCCGCCACACGCCTCTCGCCTCCCGGATCCCAGGAAGCACTGGCCCGAGAGTAGGCGGAGGCGGAGGCTCCCGCCGCCCTCCGCTCCCCGCCAACGATATCCGGCAAACGAAGGAGTATAAAGCTGCCGCTAGGAAGTGAGTGCCCCCTTCTCCCCGCTGCCCTTTTTTTGTTTATGCTTGAGTTGTCTTGTCTTGTCTTGACTTGGTTGGAGAGCGCATGCTTGGGCATGGGGTTGTCGTGTTGTGTTGTGTCTCCCAGATGAGCATATACTTGTCCCTACTCGCACTAGCACTAGCACTTCCAATACCCATACCCGCCCCTGCACACGGGAGAGAGGGTGGACGCTACCTTATTATCATCAACCCAGGACCAGTATACAGCACCAGGATAGCAGGACAGATGACTAATGGACCAAACCCCCCTCCGCCCGGGGGTGTGGCACAAGCAGATGGCTCTCGACGATCGTGGCGCTGCCGATTCTGATGTATACGTCTTATATTCTCTATGAGCGGAGTATGTCGCCCTCCCCTCTTTGTTTTGGGTGATGGTCACGGGAAAGCGGTGTACTGACTCGTCACTGTCTAGCGGTTGGGAATCAGAAACCGAAGCGGTTGGTTGGAGGGGATGGACAGGGGCAGCAGGGGCAGCAGGGGCAGAGTAGAGGAGGGGGTAGCTGGGGGAATGGGGAGGGGAGGGAGTAGATTTGATGAGGGCGTTGTTGGTCTTGGTGCTACTAATGTGGGTTGTCTGGTTGAGGCGGGGGGTGCCGGGCACCGGGTGATGGTGTATCTTGTTGACATGTATATTATTACTTGATCAGGAAAGGGTCGGAAGCGTAAAAATATGTTTCTGGCGTAGTTTTTATGGTTGTTTGACACCGTTGGTAAGCATAGGCATAGGCATAGCTTAGGATTGATATGCAGTCGGCGAAGGATACATCGGTCACTACACAAATTTCTACTTTGGACTACGATCTAGTAGAGCTGGCTTATTCCAGCTGCAGGTAAAGCCGAGATCTTCGTCTCCGCGGTCTCTCATCCTCCGCATCGTATTCTTCAGGTTCAAGACGAGGACGGCTTACCCTCCGCGGTCTCTCATCCGCCGCATCGTATGGCTCGTCTTCGCCTTCAGGCATCGAAAGCTCGGGCGCGGTCCATTGGATCTCCCCATCATGGATGTTGCAGACATCGAGGATCAGGCCTCCAACCTCAGGAATGTCGTCGATGAGGCCGATGAATGCAAAGATCCTATTCGGGGCCCCCCCTTCGGCAACGTTGACGTTCAGCGTCGCCGCATGGTGCTCCCGCAGAATGCGGGCTCCTCGCCAACGACGACGTTGGGGTTGTTGCAGCGGGCGCATGGGAAAGGTCACCGGGTTTTCATCGGTCCTCTGGGTGTAGATGGGCTCCACATCCGGGTGCAAGACCCCGCTGTCCCGCTCGAGCGGGGCGACCGTTGTCCGCGGCGCCGCCATGCGCGCCTGATACTCCGCGTCGGCTTCCTCGGGAGTCCGCAGGAGGACATCCTCGCACGTGTGCAGGACCGAGTCGTGGTCACAGACGCGGTAGGGGTCCACGGGGGGCCCAGTGACGAACACGGCCCGCGACAGGAAGGCGCCCTGGAACCACGCCTCGATAATCAGGTCCGCGGTCTCGCGCGCGACTCTGCCCAGATAGAACTCCGGCGCCGCCGCGCTGACGCCCGGCATGACCTGCCATTTGATCTGCCAGGTCTCATACAGCCATTGGTTGAACTGGGTGGGATGGCTGCCGGCCCAGAGGGCGGCGTTCAGGGCCACCACGTAGCGGAACTCAGGGTTGGGTGCCTGGTCGTACCAGCGAGAGTTGACGGGCGTCGAGAACGTGAGCGGGCGCTGATAGGGGACGATGCGCCGCGGGAGCTCGACGAGCCTTCGCATCAGGTGCCGATTACGGGACTCGAAAATCGCCCCGTCCACCAGGACAAAGCCCGCCACGCGGTAGGTGGGGTCGCTGATCCAGACGTTCCATTTGTGCACGAAGTCGGCCTCGCTGGTCACGCAGACCAGTCGCGCCCAGCTGGCCAGCCGGGCGAGCACGGTTGGGTATTGCTGGACAAAACTATACCCGCCAGGGCAGATCAGGAAGAGCAACCGCCTCGCGGGGCTCTGCTCGGCGTTTAGTCCGTGACGGAGTGGTTGTTCCATCTTGGAGTCAATTGACGTTGACAAAGTAGGGCTTGGAGTTGTTCAGTGGATTGGTCGAGTGGATGAGGTCCCGTGTTATGAGGTTGACAAACACTCATTTTGGGGCCATACGGCCGACATATTTATAGACTCCAGCACGAGAAATGGTCTTTCGCTGCGACGAGAGACGCATCAAATTTCCGAGTTCCCTTTGTGTCGAGGTTGAGGATTGCCGACGACGAATATTGTTCGGATTGAACACATCTTTGTTATCAATCTTGAACTTGGATTCCGTCAATTATGTCCTAGAAGTGGTGGGGGTTTCAATATACTAAATGCCTTTCAAGGGTTGAAATATGGTCAATGTCAGGTATCTCGTCAATGATACAAGAGATAAAGAATGGGAAGAAAAGCTCCGGTAGCAAGTTGTGGACAAGATGTCCACAATGCACCGTCTACCTTCCTAACGAGGAAAGCAAGATGACAATAAACGAAATGGAACTTACCGGACAAGCCCATGGGTTTTTGTTCACTCAGAATGTTGCCGAACCTCTTATCCCTGAAAATCTTAACACGTATGGCTAATGCTGTACTAGCTAAGTTATATGAAAAAAAGTAAATCGATTTGCTCACAGAGCCCAGGTAGTCCGCATTGCTACCAGTATAAGTGGTTTAGAGATAGCCAAAAAAAATGCATCAACATCAGGCGAAACACTGATCCCAGTTCCCGCCAGATCTAGCAAAGCTCAATCCTCGCACAAAGTCATCCCGCTTGCATCGGCCTAGCTTATCAACCGCGCAGCCGTGCAGCGGAACCACGCGATCGTTTACTAGCACCCGCACAAGAGGCTCCGGCTGTGCTTTACACTGCATCATCTCAACGTAGGCTCGCGCACCGAATGGAACGGTCCACGCCGCCGAGAACCCATCGGTCTCTTTCATCGACTCCACCTTCGTCTTGGACAACGGTTTGGTGCCGTTGTACAGGCCCAAGGCGAAGAAGATAGGGATCATCCCGTTGTCGTGTGTGAAGTCCGCATAGAGAGTATAGTTCAAGGGGAATGTGGCCGGGCTCGAGTCCAGAGTGCGATTGGTACTTGTCTCGTCATGGACCGGGATATGTGTCAGACGAGCAATCAACTCATTGGTGAAGCCAACCCCTCGACTAGGACCAAGAGGATTTCCAGCACCGTACCCGTAGTACTTCTCCAAGGAACGGAGGTAGTTGTATTGCTCCCATTCCGTATGAGTGAAGAGGTCACAGAACGGAGAGAGCTGAGTCTCCGGCTCAGACTGTGCGATAGTATCGAAGGAGCACATGTCCATGAGATAGACGACCTCTTTGGCCGTGAGGTTCGCTCCGGGAATGTTCTTCTCCAGCCGCTTCAAGATGGGCGGCGTGAGGAGGGCAGTAAAGTTGGCTACAACATCATCCCCCAGTTCGCTGTTCTCGAAGACCGTGCAGGTGCTGGGATCCAGCGAGTTATTAGCGTTGGTGCTTTCGGAGATCACCACATTGACCAAGGGAGCAAGTTGACCGGGAAGGGCCAAGGTGTCATTGAGCTTCGTGTCCTGGAAACCTTGGATGAATTTCTGGCCAGATTCGATCACCCGGCTTGACCCGGATGCGCGAACGAAAGGAGTGCCGTCCTTTGCCAGAGACTCGTAGCGCTGGTAGAACTTGATTCCCGAGTCGATCATCTGCTGCACCCCGAAGGAAGTCAGATCGTCCGACCCCAGGGTGTAGTTGTAGGTCTCCAGGAAGGCATAATCCCCCTTGTAAGACGTCGCACCGGCCTGAATCTTTGCGATCACTTTGGCATATTTTGCGGACTTGGATGCAGTGGGGTACCGTGCACCGTGGCGGGAGATCACTTGTGCGAAAGTGACGTGGCAGCCCTCAGGGATAGCCGGAGAGACGGACTCCTCCTCAACCGAGAAGTAAGGGGAGTACTGGCCCCAGAGATGCGAAATCTCGGAGAAGCAATTATAGCCCTCATTGACACTGTCGCAGGTCGAGGAGCTCTGCTTGGGGGATCTAACCACCGGACCGGCGGATGCTCTACCAAGGTTGGAGGAGGCGGTAAGCAACATGTATAGGAATGGGGAGAGTCAGGTTCTACATACCCAGAGAGGAGGTAGAGCGAGAGCAGAATGGTAAAGAAGCCCATTATAACCGCAATCACAGTTTTTCTGTTCGCAAGAAACAACAATTGACGAGGTCTTCCCCCAGCGAGCTGGGGTGGTTCATATAGTCCCTTCATTATTGTGGCTGGAGAGCACCCATGGCTCTAATTGTGCGACACCGGTCGGGAGCTAGAAAGCTAGCACGCGACACTGGTAGCCCACGTGCAAGAATAGAATTGATCTTGAGGAGTGCTTAAACTGCTAAGTGGGTATAGGAGTAGTAGAAACGGGATGTGGTTCGGAGCACAGTAACAGAGTCCATGTACATCAGTAGAAGTAGTAAGTAGTACGGGCGGAGAGAGACGGGACCCAGGTTGAATTGGATCCATGGCTGTGGAGTATCGCATCTTGGGGCAGACCACGTGGGGGATTTCCCTTCTTCTGGTTGGGTAGTAGAGAGTAGTAGCTGCCTGAGGACCTCCCGAGTCGTAGGTATCTCATCACTGCCGGAATCCTCAGGTGTCGACCAACTGCCACCGGGAACGCTACAGAGGCACAGTATATACAATAATACTCATACTCAATCTACGATTTCAACTCCGATAGCCTTTGTCTGAACATGTGCAGCTCTCGTCAGTCGGTTCCATGCAAGTACGCTTTAGCGGTACGACGTTCCCACCCCAGTCCATTGTTAAAATAGACCGTCGTGTGATGAAGGTAAAGGTAACTAGTGAGGATCTCTATGTGATTCTTGCTTGAGGGCTGGCAGGACTAGTCTGAGGTGCCACAACATCAAATCAGGCGGTCGGCCAGCGATATAGTGTTACATACATATGCAATCCCAGCACAACCTACCAAGTCTTAGTAGTCCTCCCACGTGCAAGACGAAAGCAACCAACAGAGAAAAGGAAAATCCCAGGAGTGTTGCAAAGGAAATTTCAGACAACCATCCCGATGTCAAGTTGCATCCAGTACAAATTCAACAGTACACAAGAAAGGTTGAGGAGAAAAACAAATTGCCGCCTTTTCCATTGCTATCATCAAAAGTTCTAAGCCTTCCAGCATGTAAGCCATGTAAAAATCTCTTTTTTGCACACTTTCCCCGGTCAAGAAGAAAAGAATGTTACGTCAAATAATGACTCCTCCAACTTCTAAAAAAAAACTTGTGAGGATTCCAGAATCTTATACAAGAAAATGTAGGCAGAAACACATAAGAAAGTGATTCCCCTAACAGAAACGAACGCCCTCGGGGAAACTGCCCAGGATATAATATTGCATGAGGAACTGAGGGCATGCGGTTGATGTCTCTGTGTCACCTCTTGCAGCCCACAATAGGAGCATTACGAACCCCGTGTCCATGCCCCAGAAACGTGTGCTAATTCTCTAGGGGGTCTCTCAACAGGTACGATGCCCCGCTCTGCGTGCATCGTGCCGTAAGAGGCCGAAGAGGTAGGCCATGTGACAGATGGCCGTGCCGTCGACAAGGGCATCATCTTCGAATCGGCCATCGAAGTCCTACTTGCTGCGGACCCATGTGCGGATTCCAGGCTTTCGCGAGTTGCCTCGGGTCCGTGCCAAGCTGCCTTTCGGTCTTGATCAGGGGCTGTGAGAAAAGACGTGCGGAACGCATGCGGGGATGTTGGCCTCGTAGGCATCTGCCCTGCAGGTACCAGGCGAGTATAATGGTCACGGAAGAAGTCTCGCTCGGAGCGGTAGAAGTCGCGCTCCTGAGTCAACGCCCGAATCTCTTGTGTTTGTCTCTGCAGAGCCTCGGCTTGCTTCCTTATCTCGTCCTGCTGCGCAGTGATCTTCTGTTCCATTTGCATTTCGTTCCTCTTGCGATTGCGGAATCTTCTTGAGGCGTCACTGTTAGCCTTCCGCTTCTCCGCCTGCTGCGACGAGCCCGATTTCGTATCGACGAAACACGGAATCATGCCAGGGGGTGGTGGCTCAGCCGACTCGTCCCCAGGCCGCGGTACTGCCATGGCAGGAGGCAGCCGGCTCGCCGCATCTCCTGTCGTATATGAAGTATTTCCGAACGAAGGTGTGTGATGTGGCATGGGAGCCACTGCTATTGCCGGAGACGATCGACCAAATTGACTGTAAGTCGATACCGGCGTTGTTGGACTGGTTTCCTGAGAACTCGGATGAGGGGTGTGGTTGCCACTCACTTGGCGGCTATGGAAAGTTGGAGTTGATTGCACCGAGACTGGGGCCAGGATTGGGGCTGAACCCGGGTGAGAGGAGGTCGATACGGGGTGCCCTGGAACAGAGTCGATATAATGGGGCGAGCTGGGACCTCTGGAGTACGAGCTCAGGTGTGATGTTTGAGAGAGTGGAGACTGGGCCGATCCAGCCTTCAAGCTCAAGCTACCCCCGAGAGGAGGGAATCGAGCTGGTGGCGATGCAGGGGCTATAATCGGATGGCTTCTGACCCCGGGAGAGGAGGAAAGTCGCTTAGCTGGGTGGAGTGTTGGCGAGGGAAGATGCATCGTCGGCGAGGACGGGTGTCGAGTGTGTGAAGATAACGCTGCAGTCGACCGTCCTTCCCCATGACTTTCCCAGCCGTTCTCTGGTTTGGTGCTCGGCACCTTGGAGGGAGGATTAAGAATCGATTCCACGCCAATGGGACGAGACTGCCCAGTCGAATTCAATGCATACCCCAACGGGTCAGATGATTGCCAGGAGAAAGGTCGCGAACGAGCATGATCTGAGCTATCCGAGTCATCGTCCAGGCGAGGTCTTTTCCGTTCGAGCGAACCGCGACTCTCGGACGAACGAGCATCGCCTATGGAGGGAGCAGAGACAGGGGGCGACATGTGCTCCAAATCTCTCAGTACCGATTGTTGAGATGATCCTGGGCATGGCGGGGCTCCTCCTCTCTCCAGGTGAGCTGGAGATTGACGAAGAGGAGCCTGAGAGAGGGAGCCGGTTGGTTGGGCGAGAGGAAAACCAGGCAGCGAATGATATTGGGACGAAGAATGCACCGGACTGGAGTATGGAAGATTGGCCAACACACTGAGTCCTAGGGTAGCCACGGTGACGGAAAGGCTGATTAGGAGCCCAAAAGAAGACGAGAAAAAGGAGGGAAGTATAGGCTGGGCTTGGGTGGTTGAGAAAGGAACACGGGCAGCGGATGCCGTGCGCAATGGAGAATCCTTATACACCCAATCCTTTCGGTTCTGGCTTGTATCCCCTGAGAATGAATTGACCGCGTCAATCAACACTACAGTATATCCTGTGCCCAGCAAGATTTACCCGATTGCCGCCGGATATCGTTGAAATCACCAATGTCCAATGTATGATGTGAGAGAACAAGAAAATCAAGTCAATTGAGAATCGATACCCAGTATCTGTATAGTGGAGCCGAGTTATCAGAGCCAAGGCACGATGGATAGAAGAGGCAGTGAAAGAAGACAAGTTCGGTGAGTTAGACAACGTCTCGATCAGTGAGGAAAGAAGAAGGAAGTAGAAAGTAAGTTCAAATCACAAGGGGAACGCAAATGATTATGGTAGTGTTGAAGGCGGAGGAGGAGGCGATTAGGATGGTAGTAGTAGGTTGGTAGGCAGGTAAGTGGGTTAGGTATGGTACTAATCCTAAATATTTTTTTTCTCTTATGGGATTGATTTTATTTTATCTGATTATTGCTAACGGAACGGATCTGCTTCCCAGCACAAGCATAAGTGAGCTGTTGACAGCAGAGAAAGAAGTACAATCTTTTCGGCGGTGTGAAACGGAAGGCGATGTTTGGTAGTGAATAATAAATGGGGGATCAAAATAAGAACAGCAGCAGCAGCAGCAAGCGGGTGTGGGACCCATGGATTTTAGTTAGTTTAATTAGTTTAAGAGAAAAAAAGAGGAACCCAGAGGCATGGGTTGGGGAATGGGGAGGGGGGCGAGGATCTTGGGTCGACGATGAACAACAAGTATGTAAGACACTTTGCGTTAGACCAAAGATTATTTTAATCAAGAAAAGAAAAGAAAAGAAAAGAAAAATAAAAAATCAATCATCAATCAATTTAAATAGAAAAAGAAAAGAGGAGAAAACAAAAGAAAAGAGATCATGGCATCACACAAAGAGTGACGCACAGGCAGCTCACGCAGCTGGTAAGGGGGGAGAGAGAGAGAGAAGAGGTGGATTTTCCATCATGGATGACTGCAAGCCTAACTTGGTCGGTCTGTCCCTACTACTGCTTAGCGACATACATACATGCATGAATACATCCATCCATCCATACATACATACATACATACTGTACAGGCATGCATACATACACCGTACATACAGCCTACATACAGCCTACATACAGCACCTTTATATTTTTAATCTTTCTTCTTCCTGTTTTTACCAAATCCTGTCCGGACTCAGGAGCCATGCATCTAAATATACGTGGATCTTGATTATCCACCTGACTAGCTCTACCTCAATCTTGGGTAAATTAGACTACAGTAACTTACTTCCTTGAGAGTTCTAAAGTCCCACGCCCAATTGATGATCCATAAAAACAACTTATGGTGGAGACCACGACACACAGGTACATACATGCTCATACATATACAGAGTACAATCAACTCAGACAGTCAGACGTATTGTACATGCATGCATGCATAGATACCTGTCTGGGACTTTTGTCTAGTCCGGGTGCAGTTCCAACGATCTAGTCTTCATCCGTCAAAAGTACTTACTTGGTACCAAAGAGGGAGGAGAAGGAGGAGAGCGCCATCGTGATGGGTCTCGGGGAAGACGGAAACCCTCCCTCGAAACTACTTAAGCGGTAAAAGCTGTTCCAAATTCGGAGGTAAGTATTGATTGTCAGGTGGGAAACTTGAAATCAGAGAGACCATGAAGACAAAAAAATAGTAGAAAAAGAAAATATTAAGAAATAAAAAAAAAAGGGTCTATCCAGGCTCCGAAGAGAACAACAGCATTACCCGGAGCTTCCAGGTTTGAACAAGGCCCCGGGCCTACTCTATCAGTACACTCACTAGGATACTTAGTGTACCTATGCTATAAGTTACCAGTTAACTCAGGTTATCTAGAAG